TTCAGTAGAAGCCGGAGAACCCGTACCCCCCGGAGCAGCAGGGGCGCCAGCAGGCGTAGCTCCTGTAGCCGTAGCCACAGCCCAGCCTGGGGAAGCCGCCGCACCCCCAGCCGGAGCCCCCGCCCAGGCCCCCGAGGCCGCCCCAGCCCCAGCCCAGGCCTCCGTAGTAGCCGCCGTAGTAGCTCATGGTGTCCGGGGGAGTCTGTCTGCCGTTCAAGACGAGATCCTGGGTGCGAGTGTCGGCGGGCGGGGAGGGAGGGTTATATACCTGAGCGCAGCCGGCGATAAATCACGTGGCCTCTCTTTGCTGTGGTTCCAAAATACGCGTTTACTGGAGGCCGCTCATTAACCTGTTTGCTGGCACCGAGCGAGGCTCACGCTGATGACCACGCTGGGCCTGCTCAGCCGCCCGGTGACAACACCCCGGACTCGTCACATTCTTGGTTTTTTAATGAGAAAGTGTCTGTCTTCAAAGTCACAAGATAAAAATTTCCTAAATAGGATTCTTCATCAGTCGGCCTATTGCATCCCTGAAATGGGGTGGTGTTTTCGCCCCGAATATTGTGTCGTTTCTAATTTGCAGATATTCTCCGGATGCTCGTATCTTACTTCCGTCCAGATTCACATACACTGATCAAGTCCAAACTTCTTAAATCTGTCAGATCCTTTGTCAAACTTATTTCTCAAGCAGAAAATCTCTCTCACACACACACACACACACGGAAACTGTTTGATTTTACGCATCCTCGTGAAAAGGTCCTTTTGGTCTGCAACAGAGTAAAATTTATTCCGGAAGCTGAGGGTCTACCTAGGAGAACAGACACACTTACAACCCCATCTGAACACAGCTTCAAGAATATTTTCTTTTCTTTTCTTTTTTAATATATCTTTATTGATTTCAGAGAGAGGAAAGGAGAGGGAGAGAGAGAGAGAAACATCAATGATGAGAGTCATTGATCGGCTGCAGCCCGCAACCCGGGTATGTGCCCTGACCGGGAATCGAACCCCGATCGCCTGGACCCTAGGTCGATGCTCAACCGCTGAGCCACGCCCGGCCGGGCAAGAATATTTTCTTTACACCGACACTGTCCTTTCGGGAAGAGATAATTATTACCCAAAACATAGGCGAAGGAGCCGTTCTGACGGGTGAGGCGACACCTCGTTGTGGTTTCACTTGCGTCTCTGCCGGTGAGTGACGTTGGGCATCTTTTCACGTCTCTTGGCATCTGCGTCGTCTTTGGAGAAGTGTCTGTTCAGGTCCTTTGCCCATTTTTATTGGGTCGTTTGTCCTCCTGGTGTTGAGGTGTATAAGCTCTTCATTTATTTTGGAAATCCGCCCCCCAGCGGGTGTGTCGTCATCGACAAGCACGTTCCCCATCCAGGGGGCTCCCTCTGTTCTGTTGTTGGTTTACTTTGCTGGGCAGAAGATTTCATTTTAATGTCCCGTTTGTTTGTTTTTTCCTTTATTTCCCTGGCCCGAGAAGACATGTCGGGAAAAGTATTGCTACCAGAGACGTCTGAGGTGTTACTGCCTGTGTTTTCTTCTAGGATTTTTATGGATTCGTGTCTTACATTTAAGCCTTTTATCCATTTTGAGTTCATTCTGGTGTGTGGTCAACTGTGGAAAACGGTATGGGGGTCCCTTCAGGCATTAGAGATGGAGCTGCCTTTTGACCCACAATCCCCGCTCTGGGGATGGACCCCAAGAACCCGAAACACTGCTTCAGAGGAACCTACGCTCCCCTGTGTTCAGTGCTATTCACAGCAGGCAAGACCCGGAGACGGCCGAGTGCCCAGCAGTGGACAAGTGGGTAGAAAGCTGTGGGGCACTGGCTCCGTGGAACACTACGCAGCTGAGAAAAAGAAGGACCCTTACCTCTTGCACCAGCACAGATGGACCTGGCGGGTGTGATGCTGAGTGAAACGCACCAGCCAGGGAAAGACCAGCACCGCAGGCTCTCGCTGACCTGTGGAATCTAATCAACAAGCTGACGGGCAAAATAGAAGCAGAGGCCTGGACGCTCGGGACAGACAGACAGCTGTCGGAGGGGACGGGTGTGGAACGGGACGGAGGAAGGCGAAGGGATTAGAAAACCCCACATACATACAAGACACATCAGCAGCGAGAGCCATGGGGTGACGGCCGGGGGCGGGGTGGGCACGGGGGAGGCTTTGCTCGGGCGGTGGGCGCACAGCCGGGGGCCCGCGAGGTCTGACTGAGTCCTTGAAACCTGCCTGGTTTTGCGAACCAACGTCACCCCAATAAATTCAATTTTAAAACATAAATAAATAAAAGATAAAAACGTCGGTGACCCTAGCTCTCTGCCCTACAGATGCCTCTCCCCTCCCTTC